TAATGGTTGTATTGATGTATAGCAACTTGAAATGCTCCCAAAAATGGCTCCACAGCAGGTAAAAATATAATATAAGCTCTGGCGGACTTGGTTCTATGGTAGGTCTTAAAGGATTAAACATCCAGTTAGATTTGAATAATTTATTTTCTTCTATGGACGTTTACTTGTGCGTGCATGAGAAAGAGATGAGGTTTTTTTAAATAACAGATTCTCATTCTTATCTCTGCTATCATTCTGTGTTTTTATTTTGATTTTACAGAACTATAACAACTTCATTGAGAAAACTAAGGCAGACCTTAACAAAGAGCCAGACTTAACACTTGATACCAACTCCCAGATCAACGAGTCCAACTCTGTTTTAGAGCATCTTCCATCTTCACACAGGTACAGAGAATAATAATGATATTTTTCTACATAGTTTTCAAATGAATGGTGTGCAGTTAAAAATAAATGCTTGTTTCTCAGGTCTGAACTCGTCAAAATCTCAGAGTCTGAAAGGACACAAATTGATGCATCATTAGATCATCGTGAGTGTTTTAAAGTCATCATAATAAATACTTTATTATAATAAATAGATTACGTGGAGCGTTGATTCAAAATGTGTTTTCACAAATATTTTCCAGTAATAATGCGGCTCTCCCCACTCTTATGACAGATGCCTTTCCTAAGCCACATCTAAGTAGATCCACTTCAGTGCCTGGAGACGTGTCTGCTGAGACGCCTCAAAGAGTCACTCCGGGTGTGGCGATATCCGGCAGCCCAGAGAGTCCAACCTCAGGACAGAGCAATCATCAGTCTACAGAAGATCTTATTAGGCAGCACTCCACAGAAGACAAGTCAGAATATGCAGATGAGAATATTGTGTCTGATTATAGATCTGATATTCAGGAAGAGCTGGAGGTGGAAATAAGCTCCAGAGTTGAGGATGAACAAACTCAGCATCTTCTAAAACTGGAAAATGAAGACAGACTTGACTCTCGGGAGAGGTTGCCTACATCCAAATGTGTTTCCTCTTCTGTGGATGAAGAACAACAACATTCATCAACTGTTGGCCTTGAACAGGGAAATCAGATGAAGCAGAGTGAAGTATCTGATGTAGAGGAACCTTTACAGCCATACGTTATTGCCTCTAGTCAGCCGCATTCAGCGGTAGCGGACCTCAAAACCTCAGCGCATCAAAACTACGGCTCTGCATCTGTTGACCAGTCCCCATCCCCAAACTCAGATGCTTTTGGTTCAATGAAGGAGGCTTCCATAAAAGACACCGAGGCTTCTCCAGTAGCAGATGGTTATCACGATGACTTTGAGTCATCAGTGGATTCTTCATCCAAGGAAGAGCATCATAGTTCCAAGGCTGAGTCTCAAACCTCCCACGTTTCCTCCCACGAAATCAAGGGTTCAAGAAAAGACGCATCTAGCAGGGGCCTGGCATTTGACAGCACGGATGAAGTTGTAGAGGAAGAAATAGCTGAAGATCTGAGTCACCATTCTGGCATCAGTGTGCCTAGCCATAAATCTGGAAGACTGCTGGATCTCAATAAGCAGGCAGTAGATTTTAAACGGGACAATGAGAGCTTTGATTCCAGACACTCACCAACCATCTATTCTCTGCAGGTCCCCCTCTCTCCTGTTATAGATGAAATGCCGGATTTTTACATCGGAGACCGAGTTCTTGTTGGTGGCGTTCAGCCCGGCACTTTGCGATTCAAAGGTCCAACCAGCTTCGCCAATGGTTTCTGGGCAGGTGTTGAGCTGGACAAGTCTGAAGGGAGCAACAACGGCACTTACGATGGAGTCGTATACTTTGAGTGTGACGAGCGCCATGGTATATTCGCTCCACCAGACAAAATCACACATCTCCCGGACAAGTTTGAGCTCTACACCGATACCACAGAAGATGAGGACTCGTTCTTTGACGACTTGTCAGATAAAGATAGAAATGAACCTAAAACAAAGGAAGACAATTTCCAAATGCAAGAAAATCTCAACAGGGAGAATGAACAGACCTCTCAGAAGGAGACTGGGTCAAATGATAAGAAGGAAACTGATGGCTCTGTTCTC